CAAAATTAAGTGAACTACAAACTAAAAACAGCATTCATAAATATATTTACTAGTTTTATATCCTTTCTGCTGTTATGGTTCATGATATGTAATAATAATTTAACCATAGAAATAGGGGTCCATAAACCTATAGGAAGGTATAATGATGCACAATTTTCTTTTATTTTTATTATTAATTACAATCAATGTCAGACCTTTGTAATGTTGCCGAATGGCAGATGAGGTTAGTGTGAAATAGCTTTCACAAAGCTTCTTTCTCTCAGAAGTGGCTTTGGATTAACCAAGAAACCCAGCTGGATAAAGCAAATTCTTCCCTGCTCCCTGCTGTAATTAGTTCTATTATTAACGAAGTTCAGCATCTCAATAAATCAAGGGGGTCAGACTTGTGCATCGTTCCACTGCACTTTCTGCCTTTGGCTCATACTTGCTCAATAAAAAAGCATCTAATAATTTTTTTACCTGTAAAATTCACAACATGTCCCTCAGCTGAACATCTGTTTTGTTTTCTCTCCAGAGGTGGTAGGAAGAAGATGCATTATCTTCTCTAACGAGTCTTGCAGTTCCTCAGATGCTGCCCTGGACTCTGTTCTGCAGCTTATTCCAGTGAAGAGTGCAGGACCAACAGTGTCAGAACTCACTGAAATGTGACCCATTGCCCACTGCTTTGGCTTTATAGCTAGAAAGTGAAAAATTTCTTAGCTTTGTGTTATGCATAAACATCTGAGGGAAATGAGGGGGAGCTACTGCATAGTGTTATCTAGAAGTTTTTCTTCTCTTTGCAGCAACATTGTCTATTGCAATTATTTACTGATTGATTTCCTATTACCTGGTTTGACTTTCCTTAGTCTAATGATATGGGAGCTGTAGCCCAAATAAGCATTGCTGTATTATGGAAAACTGAGTATAATTGAAAGCATTTTATGAAGCATGGACCTAGTCTCATCCATTCTTTCATTATTTTTGTTGAAGTGCATTTGTCTTTATGGATAGCCTCACATGTTACTGTCTGTAGTACAGAGGATGTTTACCTCACAGATACTGCAGTATGCATGTTTTAAAAGATGAATTGTTCTAGACCTGAATTCCTGACACAGCTGCTGCAAGATGTACCAATGGTAGAACCAGTACCTAGTGTGCCAGCCAGCTCAGTGGGGATTGGTGGTTAACAGAGCTGCGCCAACAGAGTGAACAGCCCTGGCAGGGTGTGCGATTTTATGAAAGTGTTTTTCTAGTGTTAACTTTTTATGTAAGAAGGTTCAGAAATGGCCCCAGGAGTGCTATTTGGTTATCACTGAGATAAGGGAAGGAGCTTTCTGGGTGGTTGAGTGAAGCCCATGCAACAATGTTTGTGAGGTCTGTCATCTCTGAAGGCCACCCTCCCTCACCCCCCTCAAATAGGGACATTTACCTTTGCAAACTGTCTCAGGAAGAGATGGACCTACCTGACACTGTCAATATGGCAGTCACTGATGCCCCTGCTAGTGCGGTTCTAATCATGTCAGGAAGCAGTAGTGCAGTTAGAGGAACCATAGGATGGACTTGCAAACTTTCCTGTGTGTGGAACAGTGGGATGGAAGGCAGAGGGAAAACATTTGCTTCCAGGTAATACAAATGTATTAATGTGGGTGGGCAGCAACTCCTGCTGGATTTTGCCACTTTTGTTTACTTTTGTCCATACTGTAAGTAGGGACCTGCTTCCCTCCTCTCTGATGTGGTACTGTTGTATTCCCTTTCTAAGCCCCTTCCATGGGAAAGGGGAAAAGCAGATGTTTTGTGTATTTTTACTCTTCCACTTTGGGGAATGGGAAGCACAGTTATTGACGGTAGCTAGAATTCTTAGCCACAAAGGCCAGAATTCAAACAAAAAAGTCACAGCAATACCTAGAGGAAGAGGTAAGCGTCAGGATACTTTTAAAAGGTTCATAAAAATATTCATTGGAAAAAACCCTGAATTTTTATCAAAGACTTAAACTAAGAAAAATAAATCTTTACATAACAGTGATATACAAAATGCTGTTAAGCCTGTGTTAAATCTTTATTAAACTAAGCAGTGACTGTGCTTTTTTTTTTTTATTGCGGGTGCTTAAGAGGTGCTTTTGCTGAAGGTTAGTACACTGCAGCTGCATATTAAATCATCTGTCATCATTCTCCCCAAGAAAGCCATATAAAAATGGGCAGGTAACATGATATAAAATATTTAATGTGTAGTTCATATGAAAGCAGAGCACTAAAAGAATATTTGAAAGCAGGAGGTGCTTTGTTGATTTTTGCCAGGCCTGGGATGCAGGGAGCTGAGCTGTGCTCTGCTGCAGCTCTGTGGTCCCATGCTTTGCCCCAGGAAGGCCCTTGGAGGTGGCTCAGCCTGGTTTGCCCAGGGCTCCCTTGCTGCTGTTGGCATAGGCATCACGAGTGAGAGAAGATGGTTATGTCACTCACGTGCATCCCTACCCTGGGTTGTCTGTGGCCTTCCTGCACAGCAGTAAGGCTGAAATGTGGAAACTTGCTCTAGGCTTCCATTGGGAGCTTTTCTGAAGGCCCGAAGACAGCAACCTGCTGGGTACTCACCAGCCTGGATGCTGGTGGTTGAAAGGGCTGCCCAGCTTTCAGGTTGCTGAGCATGGTGAAGAGCCAAGGTGTTGCACAGGGTGCCATGCCTTGGGGAATGGGACTGACTTCCTTCATTCTGAGCAGCAGAGTCTCTTTGCCAATGCGTTTGTGCGCTCTCATGTGCACGTTCTGCTTTCCATGCCAAAAATGTTGACAAAAGTGTAGTGTGATGCTGTAGGAGCGTGTTCTTTCTACTGAGAGAAGAAAAATCCCATTAATTTTAAAAGGCATTTTTAATAAAACTGGGTCATTGGTAGAGACCTTCTCACAGCACTGGGCTATCTTCATTGGGCAAAGCAAATCTGTCTGCTGCACAGACAGAAGCAGAGGTGAGTGCCTAACTTGCTTAGATATGTTTGAAAATTCTGCTAGGCCTGTCTGCATCTTTTTTTGGCACCAAAATGCACTTGAAAATCTGGCTCAAGAGTTATTAGAATAACACAAAGGAATAATAACTTATGTTTTCAATGCCAGAAGGGTTTTACTGGCACTGAGCATATTGATGTTACACTGGGGGAAATTACATTTGCATGTTTGAGAGCACTGAATTAATTACAACGTGAAATAAGGCTTTGTTTAACATATGTAAAGAATCTGCTCTCAAATACATTATTCCTTGTAGGGCTTGAAATAAATAAAGTGTCCTAGCAAGCCCAGGAATGTGGCGAGCAGGGAGATGGCTGGTTTTCTATGGTTGATTAGTAGTTTGGAAAATGGACACACAGCAACCAAAACAGATTTCTAAGTCTTATTGCTAGACCTATTGCTATTAATTTTATTCTTTGCTGCTATTCTTTTGCTTAAGCCTCTTAAAGTCTGCTTGTCCATTTTCTAGTTCCTTTGAAAATATCTCATATAAGATAATAGCCTTGAAATGATTTATTTTGATAAACTTAATGCTACAAATTGAGAAGAGGAATGGATATTTTGGCTTCTAGGGAAGCCTGAGGCAATGGAGGAAACAATTTGAGTGTGTGTATATATTTATGGCCTCGGGAAGACCCCAGAGCTGAAAGCTCTCCATTAATTTTTGATGGTTAGCTTGTATTCTGATCAGAAGTATTTCTATATACCTCTGAAGGTGTGCAATTGAAGAAGCAAGAGCTATAGGGCTTGGAAAAATGTTAGTAAAATACTTTATGGCTTAATTTTAAACTTATGGCCATACTGGAGAAGATAGTTTTCAAGTCATTTTCCATAGCTCATGTACTATACATCTGTCATGAAATGATTGAAATTAAAATAGATTAGACAGGATTTTACAGATGGTTTCCTCTCCCAAACTTGACCACTGAGAGGTGCAAGCTAGAACACTTTTCAGCCATCCTTGAGAACTGACAAAATCGAAATATACTACTAAACAATTAAAATCTGATATGGAATGGGGGATATCCAGCACAAACTGATAGCTTTTTCTGCTAAAATAAACACATGTGCTATAGCCTGCATTGTTTGAACTCTCTCTATGCAGATGGATATTCAGAGTGATGCAAAATTGGCCGGCGTATTGGAGTCTGTTCCCAATACGTTTTGGGGGAGATGTGGGAAAAGACACCATCTTCTGGGGCAGCATGATGGCTATGTAGCAACTGTAATCTCTTCTGCAGTTGTCTGAAGGTCACTGGATGCTTAAAAACAAGAGGAGTTCTCGCTTCCCTGCGTGTGCCATAGGAAACTTGGTGCTTCCCCAGGCAAGGAGTGCAGAGCATTTCATGTTGGCAAGGTTTATTTGAGATAGAATCTGATGCTTCTTCTGTATTCTTCATTGCCTTAATACCAAAATGACAGGTGACTTTTTTATTGTAAAGTTCATTTTAAATGTTTATTCTTTCCTTTAAAGTATTCCCTTTTAATCAACACTTTATTAAATGAGACAGAACAAAGTGAAAATTCATGAAATACTATGTAAAGCCATACAGACCTTCAGATTTAGTTACACAGAAGTACACAGTCTGGAAGAGAGATGTATATTGTTACTTGAATACTGCAACAGTATTAGAATAATTTTCTTTTTAAAATTTACTGCAAATTGTAATGTCCTGCAGTATAGAGAAATCTGAAAACAGAAAGTGAGAGGTCTATGCCATTAAACCAGCTAGAGACCTGGCTCAATATGCTGAGCTAATCTTACTCTCAGTATTATTTGGAAAAGGCTTTATAGGCAAGGGTTATTTTAAGGAAATAGCACATACTTGCACCTATCTGGAGAAGTTCTGTGAGTGAGGTGCTGCATGCAAGGCTGTTAGCTGGCAAAGTGTTGCATCTGGCTTTGATTTCAGAAGAGAGGCAGAGGCAAATGACTTCAATGGGTGGTGACATTAGGTACAGCTGTTGCCTGGTGCAAAGTGTGTGTGCTCCTGTTTACCCAACCTAAGATTCTTCTGCCTTGCATCATGGAGAGGATCAGAGCTCCAGCTGTGGCCTCCCGCAAGAAGAGCCAAAGAGAAATGCAGTCCCCAAAGCCTCCCTGCAGCTATGAGATCAAATTCAATAAATTTGTCATTTTTATCGTGCAGAGGAAGATGGGGAAGACCAGAAGGGCATTTCTGATGGAGCTGGCAAGAAGGAAGGGTTTCAGAGTTGAAAGTGAGTTAAGGTAGGAAAACCTTCGTATGTGTAAAAGTAAAAAAATACTTATAATGCTTGAAATGTTCTAATTTAACAAACGTGGTTGTGCAAGTGATTGCAGTGGAAGTTTTTGTATATTTGGATGTACTTTGATCTTCCCACCGTAACAAACTTTCTGGATTTTAGCATGTGTTCTTTAAGTACTGCTCATCTGTTATCTTCTGGGAAGAAAGCAGAGAACAGGCAGAACACAGATGTTGGCAAAAATGCTAACTTTTACCTTCGAAATCTGTGTTTCTGATTTATCTTAATCTGTCAGTTGTAATGTGTTTGCACTTCTCAATGTGCTACTTCTCACATGGAAAATCAAACAGATGTAAGGTCTGACCTTGCAAATGCTTCTCCCACGATTTTTTTCTGTGCATTAACATAGTCTCATTGGCATAAATGAATCATGTCTTTAGCTGAAGTAGATCAGTCATTGTTTATTTCCTGCTGAAGTCAGGTTGAAATTGATCTGAATTTAATGGCTAATTCTTGAAATGAAGAGAAAAAAATATATGTATATAGAGACATGAAAAATCCAATGAGCTGACAGGGATGTGTTTCTCTACAACATTTCTGGCATACTAATAGTCTTCCTTTGAATTATACAATTGAATTTTAATGTGATACCTTTATAAATAAAGAATTGCTGTCATGCTTTACTCGTATAGAAAAGCCCTGCAGAAAAGGCCAAGGAAGGAAATACCCTAGAAGCTGCCTTCCAGGATGAGGGTGTACTCCAGCTGCAGATTCCTATGGTGGTGCTTGGGTAATGCCAACATGGTTGATAGCAGGACATTCCCCAATTAGTGCTCTTCACGAGCTGAAGTTGTGCTATTACAATGCTATCTGGTAAATTTCCTGAAAAGTTGGAAGAAACACAAATATTGATTTGTGTTTCTGTATCTGTATGCATCCTGGATCTTTTTAAATGCTCATTCTCTCCAGACTTTTTTTAATCACAGAAACTTTGAAAGGCCAAGGAAGGAAGTTCACGTGTGCAAATAATTTGTATAACAAGTTTCAGGTAGGTGTTGTATAGAACTAGGCCATTAGTCTAACATGAAACTAATTGAATTTGAAGAAAAATGGATGGTGTTGTGCTGAATCCTACATTAATAATCCATTGAGGACTGAGCATATCTGGTCTGCTTCTGCAGTGGTGTTTATTGCTACTATTTCAGCCTTCTTATAGGGCTGAATTTCTATAATGCAGAACAGACAGGTGTGTGTTTAATCCTAACTGCTACTGGATAAAACAAAAGTATTTAACTATTAATTTTTTTGTTTTGAGAATGCTCAAGGAAACGTTAGATTCATGTTTTGTGCCAAGAAAAAAAAACACAGCTGTACAGGTACCAGAGGAAACCGGTGCACAGCAACTAAACTGCTGCTGCGAGCATAGTGATGGCAGAGTTCCCAGATCTGTGGCATACATTAAATATGAATAATTTATATAAAGTAAAATAAACCACAGGAAGCAGAAGTTCTGTGTGTCTAACTGTTTTTTACCCAAGTGGAGATGTGACAGTTTAATTAAAGTAGAGCCAAGAGGAGTTAAACAATAATAAAAACAATATTTAATGGAGATTGACCTAACCTAGATTTGTCATCTTTTAGGTCATAATAAAATGACCATTTTTTCTAATGGTCTCTCTACAGGTTGAACAATATAAAAAAGATTGTTATAATGCAACATTTTTCTTATTTCTAAAATATAGGACATAGAAGCGTTTTTTTCAGCTTTCCAGAATACAGTAAATTGAAGGTTCCTGAGGACCATGTTGTAACAGTTTTCTAGGGGATAACCCTACAGTGTTTTTTGTGATTAGGCCATTCAGTAAAGTCACTGACTGTAAATGTGAGGTCAGGGGTTTTGCTGATCTCCTATTACATAGCTTTCTTTGAAAGGTTGCATGCAATCAATCTTATCCAACAGTTAGCACAGCTCTTCTGGAAGCCCATATTAGCTACTCATCTGCACCAGAGGTGCCCTGAATTCTATGAAAACAGGGTAAAATAATCATATTGGATGTATGTGCATTTTTCCACAGTAAGTTTAGGAATATCATGGTGGTTCTCAGTTAATTTGCTCCTAGATTTTGGGGATATTGAGGTTCTACAGAGTTCATGAAAATTAGTGGTTAGGTAAAGAGGGAAATGCAGAAGATAAGAGGTAAAGGAGAATCAGGTAGGTGTGTGAGAACAACTTTGTGCTTTATTTGGTTCTAGAAACTTCACATGAGTAAGAGCCTTTATAAATGTTGTTGATGTTAGAGTACCATCAACTGGAGGTTGCTTTTGCTTAGATCCCAAAGTTCATTAACCTTGAAACACAGGCCCTTAGCAAATCTGTTTGGAGGGTGGCTTGATCTGCTCTTTATTTGAACAGGGTCTTTAGCTTCCTCTTCAGTCAGCTATCGGCCCTGTGAGTGACTCTACAGCACTGACAGTGTGGAGACATGCTAGGAAGTTCACATTTAAAAATTCCTACTGTGGTGGTAATTTTCTAAACTTCTTAAAGAATATTAATAGGTCAGGAAATTTACAGGCTGTGCTAAATATATACGTAGTTTCCTGGAATGTAAATGTTGTCCTTGTCTCCTCTTTACTGGATAAAGATGCAAACCAGTCATTCTTTAAAAATGAAGTCTTGGATGATTCTTTCCCATGTTATTCTAATATATCAAGCTGACTTTAGCATAGTAAACCTTTTTCAGCAATGCAATTTTTTCAACTACCGTATAATCTCTTTAACACTAACCTATTAATTTTGAGTCAGCTAAACCAGGTTTTCTAGCGCTAGTGACTTACAGCGAAGAGGACTCTAGGAGGAGTGTGTAGTCCATAAGACTTGAGCATTGGCCAATACTGTAAATAAAAGGGGAAAAAAAACCTTATTTTTGTGTGTTTCTTGACAGTGACTCTGTCACCCATGTTGTAGCAGAGAACAATTCCTACTCGGAGGTATTGGACTGGCTGAGGGGGCAGGCAGTGCAGGAGAGCTCCCGGTTTGAGCTCCTGGATATTTCCTGGTTCACAGCCTGCATGGAAGCTGGGAGGCCAGTTGAGGCAGAAATGAAATATCGACTCCTGGTAAGTCATGTAAAGTCATGAAAAAGGAATGTCAGTGATTTTACCCTCCTAGCCCCAAATGTATAAAAATATATATAAATAGGTTGTGAATAAGTTTTGAATTTATACTTTCTAAAGCTTATTTTAGTAATTTATGCAATTCCAAGAAATTAAGAAGGATGCCTTCTGAACCTTTTCTTATATTGGCAGATAGCGTTATGGTCTATAAGTTATCATGGTCTTGCAGGTTAGAAACAGGATAATATTTGTTCTTCATGCAAGATTACTGCCATTAAAGAGAAAAGATCACTCAGTGAAGCATTTGATTTTGTTGTGGAGTTGTGATATTTCCACAAATGTTTAAACATCCTGAAGGGATGCATTTAAGTGAATTCTTGGAGGCACATTTGTTCTTCAAAGCAATACAAAAATGCTAAAATCTTTGCTGAATAGCAGCAAACAGCTGGCTGGTGAAGACATTGATTTGTATGTCAGAAGACTTTTGAGTCTGATCGCTTTATAGTGAAGTGCAGGGCTCCTCCTGGGCTTGGGAGCCTGGAGCCGTGGGGACTGTGTGAACGATGCCACTGCTGCCAAGTGGCATCTGAGAAACCCATGATCACAGCCCTGTGCATCTCCCTGGTAGGTAGAGCATGTCTGAACTAAACAGTAATATTAAAGTTCTCCTCTTTGTTATCTGGATTTTTAGGATATGAAGAATGATTCTGCAATGAAAGCTATTGCTTGTGATTCATTTTTCAGTCATCTTTCCTTGCCAGACACTATTTTTCCAGATTTTACACACAAAAATTGCTGTTTAATAACAATTTAAAAAGCAATGAATACACCAGATGGAGCTGTCGCTCCCAGACTCAGCATAATGCTGTGACAGAATGGGTGTTTATATTTGCAGTGCTCCCAGGGAAATATTTCTGCAGTATTTTTGCAATGTTTCCAGTGAACCTGCTGAAAGGAAAATATGCTAAAAAGTAAAAGCTAAAGAGAAATAAGAGTAGTCACAAGGTTTTTACTATTATATGATCTTAAACACAAATAGGTTGTAAAAATAAATCTTGTTTTAAAATTTCTTAACAACAAAATCACAAACAAGGTCAGCAAATCTATAAAACCTACTATGCTACTTTTCACCAGGTTTAAAAAGTGAACAAAATTACCCATTGTGCAGCTTCCATTTAATATACTCAGTGCTGAAAAGCCTGTAGCTTCAGATGGCTCAGAAAGTATCTTTTCATGGATTGATTTTTTTTCTTTTCAAAGCAAGAAATACCTTCATTTCTCCCCAAAATATCTCTAACTGTGCTGAAGCTTGCATTTTATCTGTGAGAAGGCTACTGAAAATTGAGCTGCCTTAGGTTTCTTTTATATGTACTAAGTAGGTCTTTTTGGATTAATACTAGAGCAGAAATTTCTGAAAAAAAAAAATAGCTAGCAGCACTGTCACAGGATCATTACTATACTTCAAGGCTGGCTCTGTAAGCAAGAGTTTCTATATTTATTGAGGCATAGAGGCTTCGTGCTAATAATTGTAAAGCACAGCGTGCAAGCCAGCAACAGCAGTACTATTAGCTTTAAAACTTGGTTATGACCACTATTGTATAGTACTCTGCAAGTACTAAACCTTTTTGTAATGCAAACAAAGAAATAAAAGGATTCTAGAAAATTAGCAAATTTAAAATTATTACTGATGTATCCTTGGGACTTTTTTGGCTTGATAAATGAGGAAGGAATGGAGTAAGTGGTAGTTTTCCTTTTAAATATTGAGCCAAACTTGTAAATAAGGTAGGAGAACTGGTGTTTGGCTAAAGACAAATTTGTTCTGTTATATGAGCCATGTGAAATGAAAGTGAATTAACTAATCTTGAACTGAACGGGCTGTATCATAAGAGTTCTGGGAGTAAAAAGAATGGATGTCAGTATGTGAATATTTATATAAAATCCCATCTACAGTGGTCTTTGAGAAAATGCCCAATTTCAGTGGTGCCAAAGTTTCTCCTTCCAGGTCTCTCACTAGTCTGGAAGCATAAGCTTTCTTCAGGGCACTTGTTGTGGATAAGAAATGTCCTTGATAGTGCAAAACAAGGGGAATAAGCCAGTTACAGACCATTAGGTAATACACTAATTAAAATTATCATTAAAGTGCAGACTGCTCTGCAAGAGACTCTGATGTTGGAATGATTTATGTACTATAAAAGGTTGGGTGAGCAGGCCTGAGCTTGTCTGAACTTGCAGAGATTCCTTCAATGATAGTTGACTTTTCTACTTAACCATGATTTAATTCTACCCAAGCAAGGTAGCCAAACTGCAACTTTAAAGGGAAACTTTGTCCCAGTGCCACTTCTGAGCAGGGGAGCATCCCTTTTCTGCCAGCCTGTGGTTTTTTGGGATGCTGGCATTGCATAAATGTGCAAATCCTCCTCCTTGGAGCCCTGGCAGTGGCATGTGATAGGCAGCTTGTATTTAACATTTTCCTCAGCTTCTCTCTCGATTGCCTCATGAAAGAGGGAGGCTTTAACTAATGGAGGAAATCTGTCACATAGACAGTTAGAGTTCCCCAGAAAATAAAATGAAACTTATAAACTAGCCTTCCTCTGTTCATAAAATGCTGGCTATCAGCAGGCATTATGATGATTGGTGCTGTCTGGGCTTAGCAGAGCTGCTGGCTGTTAAATGATGTGGCCTGACACAGTCCCTAGCAGCTACCTATGCTCCTCATTCACTGCTGTGACTCTCAGGCTTTTTCATTTCCCTATGCTATTATACTGCTTTGCACATTCAAATAAAATCATGGCCCGATGTGGAAAGTATTAAACAGAATGCTTTGGAGACCAGAGCTTTCTCACCTTCATACAGCACCGTTCATACAATACCAAATACAGCCATTTTGCATGTTTTCTGTAGCAACTTGTCAGAATTAAGGTATAGTTTTATCAGAAGCAAGCAAGGAGCCTGTACTTCTAAAAATTTACAGTGCCAAACTCTGTGTAGTCTGCCGTAATTTGATCTGAATGTAATGGAGATGTCTGCAAAAGAGGGATTTAAATGCTTACGTTTTGCCCATGTTTGTAGCTGTTTTCTCCCAATACTATAAATTATCCTGAGGTTGTGAGTTTTGCAGGATTCCTTGTACTGCGCTAATTTCCACTGGACAGCACGTTTTGTCCCATAATCTGTGCAAATATTGCATACTCCCATCTGCTCTTTCCACCAAAAAGCGATAGAAATTCTGCTCTTCTGTTTTGCTGATGACAGGAAAAGATAATTTCTGTAGCTCTCATGCAGGCACCATAATATTCCCTACAAATCAGATTGAAGCAATTAGAGTCGCAAGACACTTGCTATTGATTTCTAGTCCAATTTTGTTCTGTTATTTGTACAACCAAGTCAGGCTAATTAAGAATGTAACCAGGTGGATGCTGATTGAGGGGAAAAATGCTCAAATAATTTTGCTGAGGCACAATGGGATTTTTATGTGCCAGTCTATCACCCTTCTAAGTGTGCTGAGTTTCTGCATTAATTTCACCCTCATTAGATGCCAGGTTAGGACTATGCATGGGGCTTTTTTCCCCCATATATATCAGATCTCTGTTCTAATGTAGCTAATGGCTCACTGTGTGTGCTCTTCAGTAATATTATGTTTGTTCACAGTCCTCTCAGCTGGCACTGTCATTTCAAGCAGTGTATTAGCTATAATCAATCATAGTTTATGTGATTTAAAATCAATTTTAAAGTATAATTCATGAATGCGTGTAAGAGTGGATGAGTAGAGCTGTTGCTCTTGACTGAAACTCATTTTAGTTATTCCCAAGAGTGGACTTATGCGTGAAATAACTTCCTTCGTTTCAGCATATACTATGCAAACTGCCATATAATTCTCTGCTCTTTCAGCTGTGTAAGCAAATGCCCTTTTTTTGTGAATATTATTATGTAACTACTTTGAATCAAATACAAAAGCAATTTATATCTTACATGTGTACATGTCATGTCACAAACATGCATAGGTTTGTCTAGCATAGCTGCTATCTATATATCTTTAAGAAAGAGACCATTTTTCTGTTGTTGGACTGAAAATTTTCTTAGTGTGTATGTGTGATTTTTAACCATTCCCTGTGGCTTTTGGATAATGGCATGTAATATGTTTTTGGCAGATCTGCCAAATATTTTCAGGCAAAATGATAAATAAGAATACTGGAAACAGGGTATTTCACACTTGGGCACTTTCAGTAAAAGCAAAGGAATTAAAAGGTTAGATGTATAAAGCAGCAGCAAAGCTGGTGCTAGCTACTCTGTTCCTGGTACATCACTGATCAGGGCACTGACCTATTGAGGATACACAGCCTGGGGACACCTTTTTGCCATTTTTGGGATATGAATTAATATCCCACCTTGTAGGAGAATGGAACAATGAGAAGAAAAGAGCAGGATAGTTTGTAGATGTTTAGGATGCTCTTGTTTTAAGGTTAGGCACTTGGTTAGGTTACTTAAGGTTAGGTACTTAGCCTTTCCACGATAACAGCAAAAGCAATATTCACCAGGTAAAGATTTCCTGTTTTATAATAACACAGTTGAAATCTTCATGCAAGAACTTTATTTGCAAAACAAATACTCCTGGTAGTCGCCAAGTTTGTCAGCCCTAATAGGGAATAGGCACTAACAGGAAATCTTTTGATTTTTTTCTTAGGTAGATAATAAAGACATTAATAATCTTATTACAATTAAAGGAAGATATGTTGGGCATTAGAAATATACTTTTAGTATTTTAAACTGGTTGATAGAAGCAACACCACTTTACCTTTATTCCTCCCCTCTTTTTTGTCTTAGGAACAAGATGAGTGTCCAGCTGTGAATACATGTGAACCAGAAGTGCCATCATTTACTGCAAGCAGAGTGTCTCAATATTCATGTCAAAGGAAGACAACTTTAAATAACTTTAACAAGAAATTCACGGTAATATGTGTTCGATTCATGAGTTAGAACAAATAATAAAGTACTTGGGTCAATGCTATCAATGGTACCTTCAGCAAATTGACAAGTTAAACATTCAGCACAACTGAAACAAATCTGCTGTATTTAAAATAAAACAATGTAAACTTAATTACATCTTTTATGTATTGCTGCTGAAAGCTTATCTTGAAATATGCTAATAGCTTGCAAGCACATGAGTGTTTTGGAAAACAAATGATAGAATTATGTTCTGAAAATATCTTTTGGCCTTTCATTATAATTTTATTTGACAAGATGAAAGTAGTAATAACAAAGGTTGGTATTTTTTGCCTGAAGACACTGGTTGTTGTGCTCTCTAGTCTTTTCTCCAGGTGCTCAAATCCTTCAAATGAGACTGCAAGCTTTTTTTTTCCCCACGTTGTCTCAATTATAAAGACAGATTGTGTGATCAAGGTAATCACTTGAACATGATGTACCACCCTCCCCTTAAACTGTCCAATTAAATAGGTATTGCTGTATGTCCTATTTAAAGCTCTTAACATTAGACTTGAGTGAACATGAAAAGACAAAGTCATCTGGTCTAAATTCTACTTAAGGTCTTGTGCCTTATGTCCTCTCTTGGCTGGCTTTGCGCAGTTGGCAACAACTGGTCAATAGGAAATATTTGACACAGATGCTCTAATGTAACTTAGTCTGAACTGGTCTGGCCTAGATACATTCCTACATTTTCAACTATAATATGAAGCAGCTCTACATCTTCCTGAAAGTTTTGATTTATTTTATTATTACTTAATTTTATTAGCTTTTAATTTTGGGCTGTGTGTATGCATCTGTAAGTAATGACAAATCTTACAAATTCTTATTGTGAAATCTGTATAAAAAGAAAATGCTATTCAGAGTAACAATAGACACCTGTATTTTGAAGAAAAAAAATTTAATGTAAATATTAAAAAGTTCAGGAAGAGTCAGAAGTCTGGAAATTCAGAATTAAAGCTAAACCTGGCAAACTTTCAAGTACTTTGGTCTGAAAATACCCAGTTAAAAGCCAAACACAGTGGGTCTTGCCTTGTAGTAATGCTCTGAATTAATCATTAATCATAATGAATGCCTAGTGGTGTTATGATACTCAAGGAGATGAAAGTGACTGTTCAGAAAATTTCCCTTTGTTAGGTAGTTAGAGAGAATTGAATTTAATTGCCAATTTTGTTCTTCGTAGCCAAGGCTTATACTTGTATAGGAATTGTGCAATATGTTACTGCTCATATTGGATGGTGTCTACAGGGCTGGAGATGGACTGATGAGGGGATGAGGTTGAACTATTGGAGGGGTACCTCAGAAACTGGCCTTTTTCAGTATGAAAAGGAGAAGGCTTTATCAGGACTAAACAGAAGAGTGACTGGGCAGATGGAGCTGGGCTCTTTGCTGAGGTGTAGGATCAGGGAACGAGGACTAGACGTCATGAACTGAAACAGGGAATGCTTCAAAGGGGGAGAAAAAAATTGCAAGGAAAATTTAGCTTGGAAATAGATTGTCCAGAGAGGTCGTGCAGTCTCCATCCTTAAAGGTTTCCAAAATGTGATGGGATGAAATCCTCTTTTGAACTCACTTTGAGCATGAAGTTTTGTCTCCTGAGCTCCTTTCCCTCTTGAATGATTGCATCACTCTAAAAATGGTGGTTTTCCAAATTACTCCAGTGTCCCACTTCCTGCTAGAGAAGCAAAGCTACATATTGTGTTTTCATTTAGTCCATTGAAAATGATCATTGTTTTTCATGTTTCACAAACAACAAATATAGGTTTCTGTAAAGGGAAAATGTCTGACGCAAAAACAGTACAAAGCAGTATGACCAAAAGTTTCTGGAAAATACTCGCCTTTGTGAAGAGGTTTCAATAAGTATCAACTTCAGTGCTGAAAATGAAGGAATATGGGATTTTGAAAGTAAAAAGGGAAAAGTGAAGAGAAACACAAGTGTAATGGAAAAAATACAACAGCTCTTAGAAGGCATGCTGTTGTCATTTTTAATTATTAATAATGAGCACAGAAAGATCCAAAATGAGAATTTGCTGATTTTAATGATGCATTAAAAATAATTTCAACTTATTAATTTATCTCTTCATTTGTAAATTTTCATTTTATTTTTGTTTTTGAATACTGAACTACATAATACTATATTCTGGGGGAATATACAGTTCATCTTCAAGTTGTTGAATTGCTTCATTTAGTCAATATTCTATTCAAACTTTACTGTGAAACCATGTTAGCAGCAACATATTATTTATTGAGTGGGTTCTCAGTTATACCTGCTTTTCAGAGAGGCAATCTCTAAATTATTTCTAGGATTTTCATTGAAGCCGCTTTAATGTCAAACTACAACTTGTACTTGATAAATTAACTGAAAATGTTGGAAGGAATATACTTCAGTGACTGAAGTACTAGGGCTATGTTCAGTTATCCCATATATCAAACATTTCTAAGGCTGTGCAGAAATTAGGTTTAGTGGTGACAAAGGGGGCCATTTTTCATCCCTCTGCCTTGAGAGAAACTCCTCTGGGATCGTGTTGTATTTTATTTCTGGAGGTGATACAGGACAAATTGATGATGCTTATGAGTCTATCCAGCATCTATATCTTGAAACTTATAACGTAGCTCCTCAGGGCTGTTCTTTTTCTTCCTATCCAAAATGTGCAATGACAGTTGAAGGCTTAGGTGTTTATGGACTGCAAGTGTTAACTCATTTTCTGGAGGACTGCCAGTCAGTCTGCCAAGTGCCACAGGGGCTTGATTTTCAGTTTTGCTGTTGTTTTGTGGGTTTTGTATTAAACCTATAATTCATGTTTGTGAGTAGAAGTGTTCCAACAGATTTTTCAGTGCAGACATTTAGCAAAGGAAATGAAGCGTTGGTAGGATTTGGTTGTGTGTGCTGTGGGCAGCCAACTGTTAAATGATAGATATTTTTTTCCCTAGCTCAATGCTGTACATCCCAAAACTAGGTCTAAACCATCTTGAATAATGGGCTGGAGGTAGTATTTTGTTATAACAACTTCATTCTATGAGACTGAGGTGTTTCTTTTTCTTACAGATTTTAAGCTTTCTTCAATTAGCTTGAAAATACAGAGTATTTGCTTGTTACGGTCACGGAGGTTTTATTTACTTTTGTGTTCTTGGATGAACTTTTAGGGATCTTTGATTTTTGCTAATGGATCTAGATGCCTTAACTTGTGTCAAATTTCTCCCTTGAATAATAGAAATTGTATTTGAGAGGGAGTAGCAGTTACATCTGACATCTAGTCTGTCCATAATAGCATGACAAGAGTTACTAATAGGGTAGAGATGTGAATATAATGAGGCTTTGAATTTCCTGCCTCCTAGAGAGATGCTATGGAGACTTGATTATCTGAAGATAGTATAAATATAATTAGTCATTGGTTTTCATCTTGAACTGTTCTGTGTATATTTTACAGCTGGAAGACTATTTATTACAGCTAAAGGGCAAAGAGATTTCATGAGAGGTCATGAGGACAATGTGGAGAGGTGTAGTATGTTCAAGATGCAATTTCTTAGCTCAGCTCTCATGCTCCCTTTATAGGGGAGGATTCACAAAATGATTTACGTGGAGCAAATCAGTTTTACGTCATGGAAGAAACTAACTGGTTGAAAAGCAGTTTACATGCCTATGTTCAATGTGATGCAAATTCTTAAAATATCTTTTTTGTGAGCTGTTGTGTAGTAGCAGGACCTGTTTATTTGGAGAATTAACTTGGCATGTCCAGTCATGTGCTAAGGAAACTAATAGTGGCAATGTGTGGCAGCTTACATAAGAGAAATAGAACGCCTTCAGATCTGTGGGGCTTTCTGCACTCTTTGGGACATGGTACAGGCAGTCCTACAGATTAATGGCAACTGTTCACATGAGTAAATATGCAAAGCAAAAGACCAGATCATTCCACCAGAGGTTGTGCTTTAACACGCTTTCTTTGTTTGTCTTAACATTAATGTTATGATAGAATATGCTATTATAATATTATTCTCTGACTCATTTGGAAATAGCTAGCCATCCTCCCCCTCTCCCATCAAAAATAGACACTTGAGGGCTGCTTTGGGTTGTTTTCATGTGGTAAAATAAATGGAGTCTTTCTGCTTTGCCTGAGAGGCATTGCTGGATCAGAATATTAATACCAGACTGCAGTAAAATTCAGAAAGACATTTCTTGTTTGAGAACAGTTTAATTCCTACAAAAGAAACTAATTAAGTCAGTGGCAAACGCTCCTTTGATTCTGAGGCTTATTCTTAATGCTACTGATTTTTACCCTGTCTTGGCAGAGTAACTCCTGGTAATGAGAATGTGAATGTTGAGCCTGGGAAAGATGGCTGATGTTCCTTCCATTCTCTAAGTATGAAAATTTTTTGCCTTTTCTGTTCTTTTTTTTTGTACCTAGAGAAATATTTAGCCATTATATGAGTTGTTCAAGCACTTCTTATAATTCCAATTTTATTATATTTAAAATATTAATTTTTAGAGTTAATATTATTTTAAGATCAGATGTCCAGAGTTCCTTGTTTTTAATTTTATAGTGATTTTGAAGGCTCTATAAGGAGAAAACCATTAGCTGAATATGTGTTCTAGGTAGTGAATACTGAATGTTACTGATAGAGCTTATTTGAGTAAAACTCTCCAGACTGAACATCAAAATTGCAACGTGAAGTGTTTTTCTATCCAGAATGAACTGGGAGATTGGTCTGATGAGAAAATGAGTCATCTCTTTTTAAGACTATTAACAGGATGTGCCTTGAAATACAGGTAGAGTAGAGGACATGTGTACCCTATGTATAGGGTGTGCCTAGTATAGGACATATGCACCAGTAACTTACAATCTTGCATCTCCATCATATCTGGGCTGTTTTCTTTGAGCATACTAATACATGTAATATCTCTTTACCATTTTAAATGGTCCATTTTAATCCAGTCAGGGGCAACGTTACTAAATCTTCTCTCACAATTAACA